AAGGCCAGCCTGAGCTACATTGTTTGTATGCTAGCCTGAACAACACAGCAAGAGCCTATTTCAAAAAACAAATATTCTTGGTACCTAAATTTTTAGATGACTGCTAAATGTGAGACGGAACCTTAGTACAGTATGTCTGTTCCCTTTAAAATATATACTTACCTTATTAAAGCTGAACTTGTGCCAAGCAAGAACTTTAAGACTGCATAGAGTATTTGTAGCTCACTCTCACTTGGTAAAAAGACAAAGAAAATATGCCAAGCATTGATGGGTCTGACCAAAAACTATACTAGTACTTATTTTTTATTATTCTTGCAAGTTTTCTTATTTCTAATTTTCCAAAACAAAAAGTTGTAAGAAAACTCAAGACTACAGCATAAAAACCTCATTTTAAGTCAACTTTCAAAGGTTCTTTTCCCTTTGTCCTTTACTAAGACAGTAAAGCAGTATCTCTCACAGACAAAATATTATTGTATAAAGAGCCACTGTCCCATCAATATCAGGAAAAAGTCAATTTCTTCCCTTCTAAACAATTCTGCCCGAAACAGGAGAGCAGTCCATTCAAGAGCTCTAGCAACATATGTGCACCCATGTTCATAGCAGCACAATTCGTGATAGCTAAAACTTGGAAACAACCCAACTGCCCATCAACTGGAGCCTGGATAAAGAAAATGTGGGTTGTTTTTTTTTTTTTAATAAAATGAAGTATTACTCAGCCATAAAGAACGAGAAACTAGACATTTATAGTTAAATGGATGCACACTGACCCGATACTCTTAAGTGAAATAAATAGGACACGTGCAAATACCGAATAGTTTCTCTGGGGTGAGAAACTGAAAGTGTAAATAAGGACTAAAAGGTATAATAGATAATGTGAAATAGGAAGAAAAGGGGCAAAGGGGAAGGGGAAGTGGGAGGGGTAGGGGAAAGGAAAGAAGGGAATGGAATATGAGAAAAAGAAAAAATGGAAACAAAGTCTTTGTAGATAGGGAGGGGTGGAGGGGTTGAAGGGAGGGCAGGCGAATGGGGAAAAACTAAGATCCAAGATGGATTATGTAAAGGTTCAAACTTCCAAAGATGAAAGTCATTATACTGTATACCTAAAATGTACCAATATAATAAAAAAAAAAAAGGTAAGATCTCTAGCAACATTTAACACTCCAAGGAAGATATTTTTTGCTTGGTTATCCTAATGCCATGGTTTTTTTTGACGGCACTGGGGACTGAATCCAGGGCCACAGGCATACTATGCAAGTGTTATACCACTGAGCTACACCTCTAGGCCTTTTCTATTTTAAGACAGTGTCTCACTAAGTTGCTCAGGCTAGCCTCAAATTTGTGATCCTCCTGCCTCAACTTCCCAAATAGCTTGGATTACAGGCACGTGCCAACCAGGCCCAGTGATTATCATAATGCTATCTCACTGAACATGTCATTTTCTTCTATATCCTCAGAGGATTAACTTTAGTTATGATAACCTTATATAACCCTTTAGTACTCCTCCCCCAAATCCTTGTATTACAAATAAAATAACTCATGGTTAAATAGCAGAAATTTCCAAGAGTTAAATCATCCTAATTACCTACTGAATAGAGAAGATGATGAATAGTAACCTAGTACCTTCTATATGCCGGACATTTAAAAAATATCCTGTTCAAAGAATCCTAATAGGGGCCAGGGATTTAGCTCAGTGGTTTCGCCACCTGCTGAGCAAGTGCAAGGACCTGAGACCTGAGTTTAATTCCTGGTACCAAAAAAAAAAAAAAGAATCCTAATAATTGACTGATTTGTTTTGTAGATAAGAACATTCCAAAGTAAAAGTATTGGCCCATGGTACCACAAGCACTAAGCAGCAGAGGTTAAAATGCAAATCCAAGTTTGTCTTTCCCAAAGGCCATGTTTTTGCCATGTAACTCCATCTCATTTATGTGAGCAATCTACCTAGGAACCTATTCCCACTCTACTTAGAGTTTCATCGTCAGAAATTTTTCTGGCAGGGTGGTGGTGTTGGTGGAAATAGAACCAAGTCTCATGCATTCTAAAAGCAAGTGCTCTACTGAGCCACACTCCCAATCCTACTGTCAAAAAATTTAATACAAAGTTTACAGAAATACTAATGTAAGGTGAAAATTTTAGTAATTATTAAACTTCATATGATTTCCCTCCCTCAAGGCTTTCCTGGAAGCTAGATTCCCCCTTATTAAATGATTTAAGACAGGGCTGAGGATTTAGCTCAGCGGCACAAACAGCACCTGGCCTGCAAGCACAAGGTCCTGAGTTCGATGCCTGGTACCAAAAAAAAAAAAAATTTAAGACAATGAGAATACAGGCCCCAGATGCCATAGTTTCTGACAAAAACAGCCTTCTGAAAAAAGAATGTTTAGCAATGTTAGCAGGTTAGTAAAAGACCTCTAACATGGCCATTCAGCAGCAATGACTAGAGGCTCATAATGAAAAAACACATACATAAGCTGGTCTATGAAAGCCTGGCAAGGTGGTAGACACCTGTAATTCCAGTACTAAGGGAGGCCGAGGCAAGGAGGATCAAGGAGTCCTACCTAGGCAACTTACCAAAACCCTGTCTCAAAAAAAATAATAAAAGGGCTGGAGATGTAGCTCAGTAGGAAGGCTCTGCTTTTAATCCCCAGTACAAGACAAACAAAAAATAAAAGCTGGTATACTTCAGGTCAACAAGAACTTAAAACATTCATACTAGCTGAGATTTACTTACTCCTCTAATGAAAATATTATTTAAGAAATATTTCACCTTCAAGAGCAGCCAAAAGAATCCAAGGCTAGACTGGTCTTTAGCACTCTCTCTTTACTAGTAGTTTGTAACACTACACTGTCTCTTTAACAAAAATCTAAAGTCAGCCCCGGGGATGTAGCTCAGTGATAAGTGTCTGCCTAGCTTCAGTGAAGCCCTGAGTTTGATCCCTAGCACTGCCAAAAGGAAAAAAAGAAAGAGTAGTCCATAGCTAAAAGACTAGGGCCAGGGATGTTGCTCAGTGGCATCACAACTGTCTGGCAAGCCCAAGGTTCTGAATTCTATCCCCGCTACCAGGAAAAAAAAAAAAGCTAAAAGACTAAAATAACTCTGAATATGGATATGAGATTTATAATCACTGACAGAAAAAGCTAAATTCAGTAAAAATATTCTCTACAACCTTTTCCCTTCAGAAAGCACTACTCTGTTCAATAAGTTCAACAGGGTCAAAAAAAAACCTGTCAGGGGCTGGGGATTTAGCTCAGTGGTTCTGCTGCCTGCCTCGAAGGCGCAAGGACCCGAGTTCGATCCCCAGTTACCAAAAAAACAAACAAACAAAAAAACCCTGTCATTCAAGTCAGAAAAAGAAAGGCAGACCAAGAAGACCCTAAAGGAGCCACATACACAAGTGGTTCAACAACCCTGAAGGACAGGAACCTCACAACTCACTCTTCCTTTTTTACAAGTCAAACATCAGGAAAAAGAAAACAGGAACAGGAAACCTTCTAAACTGTACCTCTTCAAAAACGTCCAAAACATGAAGGAAGCCAATGAGTGGCTGGGAATCAAACTCCAGTGTAATCACCTCTACTCAAATACTACAGTCACCTGAAGAGCGGAGAAGTTAAACACAATGACGCACACCTATAATACTACCTACTCTAGAGCCTGAGGCAGAAGGATCACCAAGTTCAAGGCTAGGCTGGGCAACCGTGGGAGACCTTGTCTCAAAAAAATAAAATATAGTTCAGTGGGAATTTCCAGCACAGCAAACAAAATCTTAAAAACTAGTGGAGAAGACATACTTCCTAAAAGTTTCCCACTACCACCAATAAGGTGGTTTTTCCTTTAGCCAAAAACTCACAAAATGATGCCAAAACACCTAAGGACTTTAATGCTCAGCCTTGGTAATTAGTAAGCAAATATTAAAAATGTTAGCCCTGGTTTTTCCACAAAAGTTAAGGCCATAAATACTACCATCTAAAGAGATCAAAAGACAATTTGCAATTAGGGAAATAGGTGCCAGCTGGTAACTGGCACTGCCTACATACTGGAACCAGCTAATTAAGATCACTTTAACTCTGAGGTAAAAATCAATTTTAATCTTAAAGGCAATGGAATCATATAACCAGTTTTTTCCTACTGTTCAAACCTTGAAAACGTAACATTTATTTAACATGTATCTGACTACCATGGATTTGATAATGTCTTTAATTTTAAATTCAACCAACCAATTTTTAAAAATTACTGTGCTTCCTTGAACTTTAAAAACAGCACATTCATGGTCGTGGGTGTAGCTCTGACATAGAATATCTGACTAGCAGGACCAAGGCCATAGGTTCAATCACCAGTATTGGATGGAAGCTTAGACTATGTAATTCCACTCTATAAAGTTGTAGAAAAAATTATGGTGTTAGGATAGTGCTTATCCTTGATGGCAATGACTGGCAGGGTTAAGCTGGTTTCACTGTGTGCATGTGAAATCTACTATTCAATTACAAAGATATGCATTAACTTGCTTACTGGATAAAGGCAAAAGGAAAAGCTGGAATCTGAAGAACATCCACATTATTTTTGAAACAAAAAAGCGAAACTAACTTCAACAACCAATGTTAAAAGTAAAACATTTGGCTGGGCCTGGTGGCACACGCCTGCAATCCCAGTACTTGGGAGGCTGAGGCAGGAGGATTTCAAATTCCAGGCCAGCCTGGGCCATACAAGGAGACCTTGTCTCAAAAACAAATTTTTTTTTTGAAAGACAAAATCAGGTGCCTTGAATAAAAAGCCCTAATGAGAACTGGAAGTAGGCAAGGTATCACAGGATTTTTAGAGCTGGCAACGAATGCAATGAGCATGAAGAACTACTTTCACAGAGAGACATAATCCACTGGAGTCTTATTAAACTCCTACAGTACAAAGCTACTTCGATGCTGCTTTGAGGCTTAAAAAAAACCAAACTCGTGTCCAATGCATGCTGTACATAAGGTTATCTAAGCCCATTTTTACTCCATACCTTATTTGCATGGCCTGCACTCTGAGTCCACTGTAATCAACCTCTTTTTGCTCAAATTCTTTCCACTCATCTTCATCCTGTGAAAGAAATACCTTATCAATCAAAGCTATCTGCAAACGTGCAACTAAGCAGCCATCAGACTATGAAAAGAGGATCAAAGTGGCTGGATCCCAAAGGAATACGGACTCATTTTCTGGTCCAAGTCCTCCCTCGCGCGATCCGTCTAAAATCTATTATCGTTACTGCGGCCGTGTGCCTACAGGCGAGCTGTTACTTTAAGTCAACTAGGAAAAGCCAAGTAAAGAAACCAATAGTAACTTCGTGCCTACATTTCTAGCTCAATGTTGCCTTGACTTCTTTAGCGGGCTTCGGGATCAAGTCGTCCCAACATAGGTGCCCCAAATGTGACTTACCACGCTAAAAAACAAATTCAGCTCGTACTAGGTACTCAAGTCCGACACCAATTACTCAGAGCAGACGTCACTCACGAACGGAGTGAGTGGCGCGGCGGCCCAAACCGAGAGGCCGCAGGGGTCCGGTTCCGGCTAGCCGGCCCGACGTGGGCTGCCGCGTCACGTGCCGCCCGAAGCAGCCGGCGCCTTCCCAGGAAGGCAAGCGGGGGCGGGCACACGCGGCCGAGCGCGCGCCCTACGCCCGCTGCCGGCCCCTCACCTTCGTCACGGCCTTCGTGGCGGCCCCGGGGCCCACGGTCCCCGTGCCCGCGGCCCCGCCGTCGCCCGGCCTGGTGCCCGCGGCCCCGCCGTCGCCCGGCCTAGTCCCCGTGCCAGTGCCGTCGCCCGGCCTGGCCCCCGCCGCTCCGCCCGCGGCGTTGGCGGCGCGGCTGCTCCGCTCCTTCTTCTTCTTCTTGTCCCTCTTGGCGAAGAAGTTGTCCAGGCTCCGCTCCTCCGTCTCGGCCATGGCCACGGCCTCCTGGGCCCAGATGGGTGGGGCCCGCGGCGGGCACGGCCCGCGGGTCTCGGAGGTCCGGGTTGAGGCCGCTTCTGCGCTCACGCTGCCGGGTGCGGCGACGCCTCAGCCCCGCGGGGTCGCCGAGGCTTGAGCGGCGGGGCGGGCGGCTCCCCCCCGCGCGCAGCCGAGCGGTGGTACGGCCCTTCCCCGGGCTCGCGCACCGTCGCCTGAGCCCGCCGGGGCTACACGACGGCGGTAGGGGATCCCGTCTGCCCCACAGTCGGAGGAAAAGGAACGCGCGGGCCAGAGGCTCCAGCAAGAGTGCTCAGCTAGCGGCGGCGCGTGCTGGAAGGAGACGAGCGCGCAGGCCCGGAGAGGTGGGGAGAGGGGTAGGGAGGGGAGTAGGGGGAGGACGGGGAGGACGGAGGGCGGGTCTCCAGCCCGAGAGGGGCCGCGCCCGCGCCTGCGCACTTAGCTCCGTCTGCCTCTGTGGGCGCGCCGAGGGGCGGGCGGTGGGAGGAGACGGAGGCGGGGCGGATGCAAGAGCCAATCAGGTGCCAAAACGAAGCGTTTAAGCGACAATCCTTGCCTCCAACGGGGTGGTGCCCGGTGTGGGGGCGGGGAGAAGCAGGCATATGCAAAGTAAGTGACGTATAATGATTTAGGTCTCCCGATTGGCTGAGGGTTTTGCCTGAAGGGCGGGCATTTAGAGGGCTGGTTGGTGACTTGGCCGAGGGGGACCTGCCTGGAGTAGCGGGTGTGTTTCCTCTGGCGCATGTGTAGGGTACACGTGTGGCTGCTCGCCGGGAGCCAACTGTGGCGAACTTTCACGGAATGGAAAGGCACCGTGTTAAGCCAGGAGTGTGAAAGACTGTCCTTCCCGGTCTGCCTCTCCACTTTCACCTCGGGTCTGGCAATCATTACTTTTCATCTGTTTGGGATGATTGTTATGAAGGTGAGAGGAGCAGTGGGATAGAAGTTTAAATTCCACTTGCTAAAAGATCTTTACTAAACCAGTAGGTGGATACAAGAGGATCGTCCCTTGAACTTCACCCTCTACTAGTTAGATCTGCCAAGGTCAAGTTAAACAGATCTTTCCCTCCAACTTGTTTGCAAAATGGTAACAGGTTCTTAAAGATAGGAAAGGGAATAGCTATTAGCTGCCTAGACAATGCTTAACATGCCGTGGGTGTGAAAATGAACGAACTTTTCAAGTATACTTAAGAGTTTTTTTCTACCCTAACCTGAGTCTGGACCTTCGCTACACTTGCTACACTTTGTTCTTCGCTCTTGTCCCGGACAAGGACAAAAGAATAGCATATCACAGGGGTGGGAACCAACACATCCATGCTACACCTAGCTTAACTACTTGCCTACCCTTGAGACCTTAATGAAAAAGTCGGTCTTTCAACGTTCCATTTCCTCCTTTAAGGCCAGAAACCTGCTGTCACAGCCCCTGAGGAAATGACTCAGAGGTTTGTGAATAGCCCGATGGGGTAGATAGAACCCAGCCCGTAAATGAGTGAGTTGTCTTCGCCTTTACAGTTCCCCCATTAAAGGTTCTTCCCTACCAGTGCCACTGCTACTGCTATTGAAGGATGAAGGTCTAAATATGTCAGCTAAGCGAATCAAAGACATGGCTTCACCAACAATGAGCTCACCTATTATTCCCCAAACATTAAACTGCCCCACCCCCTAGAACGGCCCCTAGGTAACCTCCTCCTGTGACCCCCACACATCTTCCTGTGCTGCTGGCCAAAGTCAGCACTGGCCTGCAGCACCATCACCAAAACCGTTTTCTCCTCCTTCCTTTCCTTCTTTCCTTCCTTCTTTCTCCTTTCCTCTGTCTCTTTCATTCCTCTCTTTCTTACCTCTGTCATTTCCTTCCTTTTTTCTCTCTCTGAAGCACTTATTTTTTACCTATATTTATTTATTTGGCAGTACCGGGGATGGAACTCAGGAGCTTGCACTTGTGAGGCAGGCAAGGTGCCACTGAGCTAAATCCCTGGACCCTATTTACCTATATTTAAGACCTTGTATCTTATTCAAAGTTGAGTAATTCTTGATTCCTGCCTTTAATTCCCTTATAATCTGGAAGAGCTAGCTACACATAACCCGCATGTAGCCCCTGATTTTTTAGCTCCCCATCAATAATATATCATTGTTGGGTCACAGATTTAGCTCAGTGGTGCTGCCTCCTGCCTCGAAAGCACAAGGTCCCAAGTTCGATCCCTGTTCAAAAGAAAAAATCATTGTCTTGAAGGAATGAGTAACTTGAAAACATGCACAGAGGGAAGAGCAACTGAGAGCAGTTGAGGGCTGACACTGCAGAATCCCACCCCCCTCCATAGTACTAGGGATTGAACCCAGAGCTTTTGCCCTGAGCCCCTTCCCCCCGCCTTTTTCCATGTTTCATTTTGAGACAGGGTTTTGTTAATTTGCTGAATTGCCTATGCTGGGCTCAGACTTAGAGTCCTCCTGCCACAGGCTTCCAGAGTGCTGGGATTGCAGGCATGCACCAGCACTCCTGGCTCCCACAACATATTTCAGTGTGATTGAAGGGGTACTTCCAGAACTAGATCCTCCTCTGTGAAGCTGGCCCTTTCCTCTTTGGCTCCCCTGCCCTGGAACTAACAGTCTCTCTCTCTCTCTCTCTCTCTCTCTGTCTCTCTCTCTCTCTCTCTCTCTCAACTACATCCCCAGCCCCTCTTTTTAAATTTTTGAGGCAGGGTCTCACTAAGTTGCTTTGGCTAGGCTTAAATCCTCCTGCTTCAGCCTCCCAGACTGCTGGGTTTACAGGCATGTGCCATCAGGCCTGGCTCTAATTGTACCTCTTTAAATCTCCCTTGCCATCCTCCTCTCATTGTACACTGTACCCTGAATCCTGCCATCACCACCCCTCACCGTCACTGGACCTCCATTGGGAAAGCAGCCTCCAGCTCTCTTCATGAAAGTACCTTCCTCTCTGCCTCTTGTTTGGACTTTCCCCAAACCTGAAGCTGAACAAACCTTCACTTTTCCTTGCTAGGTGGAAAAGGTGAATAGTAACAAGTACTGGGCCCATTCCCAGATATTTCAGCCTGTCTTTGGAGGACTTCATGCTGTTTGAATGTGGGGATTTCTCCCTGGATCCTCCAGTTACTTCCCTTGACAAGCCCCGCTGAGCTCCAACATCCTGTGAGCTCAAGCGCTGGCCAAGGCCAGCTGGCCCCAACCCTTTTGTCCCTGGATCTTTTTTTGCTGAGCTATTTGTTCCAAATTCCATTCTGCTACCTAGGCTGGAAATTGCACTCATGCTCAGCTCAAAGGAATGCAGCTCATGTTGGCCAGAGAGTGCACCCAGAAATGGATAGGTAGAATCTTCCTTTACTTTTGTGGCTTACTTCCTCACATCTGTGAGGCCGCCTATGTCACTGACCTGTTCCTTTTTCAACTGCATAGCAACTACTTACAGGTCACCTTCTGGGATGGGGAGGTCCTTTCCTGACTTCTCTGCAGTCAGCGTGGTTTTCTGAGCCTCAGAGGGCCCGAGTCATTTCATTTGGCATGATATTTGCTGCCTTCCTGGAATTACCCTGATTTGCATATTGTTCAATCACATTCATTCATTCATTTATATGAAACATTTATGTAATGAGCACCTACTATATTGCCCAGCCCTATGTTAGAAATTAAGAATAAGTAAATCAGGCCAGGGGTATAGCTTAGTGGTAGAGTGCTTGCCTAGCATCCCCAAGGCCCTGGGTTTGATCCCCAGCACCAAAAGGAAAAAAAATAAGGCCCTACCCTCACATAGTTTAAAATTCTACAATAAACTGGTAGCTAGAAGCAAACACACTTACTTTTACATACTTATAACTACAATTATAGCACATTAAAACTCGTGAAGGTAACCTGGGCATAGTGACCCATGCCTATGATCCCAGCCCTCTGGGAGGCTGAGGTAGGAGTATCACAAGTTTGAGGCCAGCTTGTCAATTTAACAACTTAGGGAGACTATGTCTCACAATAAAAAATAGAAAAAAGGGCCGGAGGTTTAGCTCAGTGGTGCTGCTGCCTGTCTCCCAAGCCCAGGGTCCGAGTTTGATCCCTGGTACCGAAAAATAAAAATAAAAAATAGTAAAAAGCTGGAGATATAGCTTGGTGTAAAGGCCTAGGTTAAATACTCAGTACCACCAAAGAAAGAAAAAGTGTCGGGAGCAATGCTACATAATTTTAGGGAAAAATCATTTGATTAGGCCTAGTTCTCCTGCCTATAGGCCAGCTGTGGCATTTTGAGACTTAATTCCATTTTGGCCCCGGGTCACAACTGAGACCTCAATGATCTGGTGATGCTGTGATGCTCCAGGACAAGATTGCACCAGCTGAAGACATCCTGGGAGGAATAAAATCTTCATCTACTCAGTTCCTCATTGTTCTTGGATTGTTACACTTTGTTTATGCCCATGTACTGAACTCTCTGCAAGTCATTTGTTACACCTTATTTATTGGGATGTACTAAATTGTCTGCAAGTCATTTGTTACATTTGTTTCTCCCAACGTACTGCATAAAAGGTGTGGTAAGCTAGGCGTTTTCGTCTTTGCTGCCCAGAGCAGTACTGATCAGGCCCAAAGTTCAGCTTCTTCTCAAAGTCTCATTTTTTTCTACCTTTCCTGTATAATAAGTTAATTCGCCTTGTGCTGCCGAGGCTCACAGGAGACTAGGACTTACTGCAGAGGTCCTAGTAATGTCCCCTTTCCCTGTTCCGTACAAGAAAGAAGGAAAGAAAGAAAGAAGGAAGGAAGGTGTGTGTGTGTGTGTGTGTGTGTGTGTGTGTGTGTGTGTGTGTGTGTGTGTGTGAGAGAGAGAGAGAGAGAGAGAGAGAGAGAGAGAGAGAAAGAAAGGGCGAGCAAGCAAGTGTGGTGGCATACACCTGAAATCCCAGCACTCAGGAGGGTGAGCCAGGAGGATCACTGTGAGTTTAAGGCTAGCCTGGGCTACATAGTGAGCTTGAGGCAACATAGCAACATAGCAAAACCTTGTCCCAAAACACCCCCCAAAATTTTTTTTTAAAGGTATGAGTGGTTTGAGCATACAGCCCGCATCACATAAGCATTTGACTGGTGCTTATAAAATGAAAAGTATCACCATT